TGGGGCTATGCGCTGACATGAAAGTACCTCACTTCGGCGACGATGATGGCGATACCAATGACTGTGCTGGGTACAATGACCACTGCACACCACAGCAAGAACTGTCTCGCCCGCACACTGATTCCGCCCTGTCTAAGGCCGCTCAACCAGAGCAATCCGGCGAGACTGGCGGCAAAGGTGCCACCCAACGCGCCCACGTTGGATCCAAACGCAATCGAGTACTGAGCGACCTTCATGACGAGCTCTCGATCCGTCTGCGCCAACCCGGCGATCTTTTCTGCAAAGTAGGGTGATCGGATCGACTTTGTGAGCAGAATCGTGGCGCCGATGTTGGTGCCGCCGATATTGCACAGTACGATGCCGAGGATCGAGATGAAGAAGGCCGTGGGGATGTAGCCGGCCGAGCAGACGCGGCCGAGGCCGGCGGCGAGGATGTTGATGAACCCGACGTGCGCAAGCGCCTGCACCAGAATGAACATGGAGAATGCAAACGGCAGCAGCGGGAATGGCAGGCGCGAGAGTACGATGCTGACGGTGGGGAACACCTCCACCACCCGTGCATGCAACCGTTGCATCCGACGAATCACATTCCGACTCGCAGGTGGCGCACTCGACTCGATCGAGGTTTTCGAGGTGGTCGGTTGCACTGCGACGTCCGGGCGCGAAGCCGATAGCGTCTGCATCTCGATTGCTTCCACCTCCTCTGCAGCCGCCCTCGACGTCTCCGCCTTGCTCCCTGCCTCTCGAGTCGCGTCGTTATGCGCGGCAGTGGAGTTCTCAACCTCGTCCGTGGGCGAAGCCTTGTCGAGTTTGAGTTTGCGCCACTTGAGCCAGTCGGCCGCTGCATCGCGCACCAGGCACAGCACCGCACCCGGCACCGCGATCTCAAACACCTTGACCCCACCCACCACCGACGTGCCCACGAGTGTGGCGAGCGTGGCGGCCATGACGATGCTGCCGAAGATCGCGCCGGTCTTGTCGACGAGTGCCGCACGCGGGTCGACGTCCGGTCGGATGATGGTGTCGGGGATGTAAATGAGTGGCGTGCGCTTGCGTTTGCGCGCCTCGTCTCCATCCGCCCCGAGCGGCGCAGTGGATGCAGTTTCCGAGGCCACCCCCGTGGTGGCACCGTTGGTGTGCGCGGCCCTGTCCGTACCGTCAGATCCCTCGGCAGGAGCACTGGATCTATGACGCATCCCCTCGGCCCCGTCGCGGCGCGCTTTGGAGCGCATACCGGGAACGCTCTCCACGAGCTTCCGAAGCGACGACTTTTGGTCTGCGTTGGGGCTGGGTTCGTGCTTGGGCGCGTCTCGATTGCGGAAGAAGACGAGCATGGCAGCCAGACCGCCCACGGCAGAGCCAAAGGCGGGGAGCACCATGTATGCTGTGTATGTGATGAAGTTGACGTCGAATCCGGTCGCAATGACGAGGTTGGTGGGGTTGGAACTGACGAGCACCGCCGACGACACGTTGGCTGCGACGAACTCGGCCCAGATCCAGGCGTCCGGCGGCGAGATACCGGCGACGCGGGTGAAGTAGACCAGGAATGCAGTTCCGGATAGGATGACCGGGTCGTTTCCGACGAGCACACCGGCAGACCAGAAGAAAAAGTAGAGCAAGAGAAAGAGGGTCTTGCCCTTGGCTTCGCGGCCGTTGCGGCCTGCTTTGAGGCAGATGAGGAAGGCGAGGTAGCGGAGCAGGCCGGTTGCATCGAGCGAGATGGCGATGTAGGCGAGCGAGATGAAGAGCGCCAGCACGTCGTACGGCTCGATGCCGTCTTCGCCCACGATGCCCTGGCGCACCTGTTCGCCGCCGATGGTCGTGGTGGCCAGCAGCACCAGCACGCCGATCACGGGCGCCGACACATGGTCGATAGTGATGTACATGTTGCTAGACGAGCCGAGCTGCTGCTCGACGGTGCGCTCGTCATCTCTGCTGTCCTCGGATGCGTCCGGTGGACCGGCGAGCGCGAGCCAGACTTTGGTGCCGATGCGGCGGAGGGGATGGGCGAGAGGCTGCGGG